ATCCTTCAGTGTTTCCACCTGAGGACTGATTTTTTTTCTTCAGTTCTTTCAGCTTGAGAAATGCTGGCCGTGTTCTTCTGTTTTGGTTTTCCAGCTCCAGGTCTTTGCACATTTGATTATGATACTTTGTCTTCTTGAGCTGCCTTGTGAAATTTTCTCTTCAGCTTTTACCTCCTCATTTTTTCCATTTGCTTTAGTATCTCTATGCTGGAAAGCAAGTTTCAGAGTCTCTTCTGACATCCATGTTGGTCTTTTCTTTCTCTTCTGTCTTTTTAATGACCTTTTACTTTCTTCCTGTATGATGTTCTTGATGTCTTCCCACAATTCGTTAGGTTTGGGGTCTTCAGTGTCTAATGCATCAAATCTGTTCCTGATATGGTCTATGTTTAAGGTCATATTTTGGCTCTCATGGACTTGTTTTAAAAACTCTTCAGTTTCATCCTGAACTGGCATATAAGTAATTGATGGTCCACTCCATAATCTGCTCCAGGCTTTGTTTTGGCTGATGATATTGTGCTCTTCTACCATCTTTTCCCACAGATTTAGTCCATTTGACTCCTGTCTATTCTATCTGGTGAGTTCCATGTGTATAATCACCTTTTATGCTGTTTAAAGAAAGTTTTTGCAATAAATAAGTCAGTCTTGTAAAATTCTATCATGGGATCTCCAACATCATTTCTATTATCAAGACCATGTTTTCCAACTGTTGATCCCTCCTCTGCTTCCTACTTTCACATTCCAATTGATAGTGATTATCAATGTATCTTGATTGAATGTTTGATCAATTTCAGACTGAAGAAATTGGAAGAATTCTTCAATTTCATCATCATCAGCTTTAGTGGTTTATGCATAAATTTGAATAATAGTCATATTATTGTTGCCACACTTGAGCCCATTGGGTTAGTAACAGCAGGGATGGGCTCAAATGTAGCAGCGACTGTGAGGTTGGCACAGGACTGGACAGTGTTTCATTCTGTTTTGCATAGAGTCGCTATGTATCAGTACCAAACTGATGGCCCCTAACAACAACAACAACAAGAGACCTGGTGTGGCTCTGTGGGTTAATGAGCTGGACTGCAAAGTAGGTTTGAACAACAAGGTTGATAGTTCAAGCTCACCAGCCGCTCTTTGGAAACCCTGTACAGGGTCTCTGTGGGTCAGAACTGACTTGGCAGTACTTAACAACAACAACAGCAACAACAATGCCCAGGATACTGATCTCTATGCAGTCCATTTCATTTTGTACAATCTCCAATTTCCCTAGATTCATACGTCATACACTCCATATTCAGATTATTAATGAATGTTTGCAACTGTTTCTTCTCATTTTGAGATGTGCCCCATCAGCAACTGAAGGTCCCTAAAGCTATACTTACTCCATCCTGACCATTAAGGTCAACATTACTTGGAGGAGGTAGATCTCCCCCAGTCTCATCTTGAGAGACTTCCTGTGGGTCTTATCTTCTGGTACTATATCTGTAAAAACCATGCCGAAACCATGTCTGACTTCCCCTGGGCTCACAAGGGGGAAGGAGAATCAAACTCAAAATCAGCCCAAGGCTGATTCCTGTGAAGCGGAAGTCAGACATGCTTCCACCCTCCAACTTTCTTTACCCTATTCTGATATCAACCATTCTCTGCAGCACCCTCTGCTTCGCATCTGGGTTTCATAATCCCTCACAGTGGGCACACTGAACTCATAACAATGCTCACAGTTTTGGGGTTCATTAGGAAAGTGAACAGGGTACAATTCAGAATCAAAGCCAACTCGGGATGCAGCTCCAGTCAGGAATGCCTCTTGTCTGCCATACTGCAGGCATGCCTCGCTCTTGTCCAGCTTCCCAGCCAAGTGGTCCCTTAGCCTCTTCCCTGTTTAAGCACGTGTTACAAAGTTCTTTTAGCCTGTCTGTGAATGCCCAAAGGGCACATTCTATAAGCTGGTCTCCTGCCTGTAGGCACTCAGCTTTACTAAGTCCATGGACCTAGAGCTCAAAATTGTTCTGTCTCTCCATGCCATCACCTCTGCCATTGTCTCTGCCATCACCTCTGCCACAGCTGTTTCTCATGCTTCACTCATGGTCTTCCTTCTTGTTGGTCCTGGGATTGTCCATCTCTGCTTCCTAGATGGAACCGTTGGAGACTAGCTGAAGGGCAAAACAAACCAATCCCAGCCTTTGAGTCCTGTATACCTTATTTGCATGGTCCTACTCAATCACTTACTGGGAATTAAGAAGACTTTGCTGTTGTTGCTAAGTGCCGTCAAGTCGGTTCCGACCCATAGCGACCCTGTACAGGGTTTCCGAGGCTGTAAATCTTTACGGGAGCAGAACGCCTCATCTTTCTCCCGCGGAGCAGCTGGTAGTTTCGAACTGCTGGCCTTAAGGTTCGCAGCCCGATTCGTAACCACTACGCTAGATTAAAAAATTTTTTTTAAAAAGCCACATCAAGTAAATTCAAGGCCCCTTGACAAGATCTGACAATGTTCTATTGCCATTCATAATGGTTTCAGTGGCTAACCATTCAGAAGTGGACTGTCAGTATTTAATATACTGGTGACATAGCTTCCAGCTTCATAGCAGCACACAAGTCACCAAAGTAGGACAAACTGGCATACAAGTGATGACTGGCAAACTGTCATAAAGTTGTACCACCTTAAAAACCCACTGAGGCAGTGCTACGTTGTCCTATTGAGTTGCTGTGATTTGGAATCAACTTGGCAGCAATGGGTTTGATTTTGATCTTAGTGCACAAATGGTTAAGTACTCCGCTGCTAACCAAAAGATTTCAGGTTTGAGTCCACTCAGAGGTGCTTCAGAAGGCAGACCTGGTGATCTGCTTCTAAGAACTGAGCCACTGAAAACCCCACATAGCACATTTCTACTCTGACACACGAAGAGGCACCTTGAGTCAGTTTATGATTTCTTTGGAGTGTATGCTTGGCTTCCAAGTTCATGCTTACTGTGTCAGAGAATCTTGCATGTTAGGGAATGTCTCATTTGGATATGTTTATCCTGGTTTATTCAGTGGAATCGTGGTGGTACAGTGGTTAAGGGCTTAACTGCTATCAGAAAGGTTGATGGTTCAAACCCACCCAGAGACATCATGGAAGACAGACCTGGCCATCTGTTCCCTTATAGATAACAGCCTAGGAAACCCCAGGGGGCGGTTGTACTCTGTCTGAGGTCGTTACTATGACTCAGAATCGACTTGACAGCACACAGTAACACCACCAACTAAGTTTATTTCTAATATGTTTTCAGGTGGGATGATTTCAACCCCTATGCTTTGGTTTGGTATCAGACCAGCTTTTGAAAATAAAAGATGAAATGTGACAATTTCCCCCTATTGAGCTGTATCAGAAATCTCACAGCAATTTGGTTGTTGGAGGACTCAGATAGAAATAGCAGCTCCTTTTCTTATTTTGTAATTTAAGAGAAAACTAGATAGCATTTCAGGCTCATGTTTATTGTTTATGACACTAATTTAAAACTGCTGTCCACATTAGAATTATTAGTTTGTTTATAACCGGTGTGCACAGGTTAGAGGGAACTGTGTTTCTTAGGTAGCTGCAAGCTCATAACAGCTTAATAAATTTACAAACATAATGAGTACATTTTTAAAATTAGAAATATCAAGTATAATTATTGCCTTTGGTGCTGCCCTGTGGAGGTCAGTGGTAACTGATGTCTACGGGGAACCAGAAACCAGTTATAGGAGAGCTAGGTCACACTCAGAGTCCCCTCTGTCCAGCACTGCCTTGGGACATTTGTCCAAGGGGCAGCCAGCCAGAACAGGGCCCTGCTCCCAGATTTATGGAGTGCAAAGGTTAAGTGCTGGCTCTGGACAGCGTATGATTTTAAGGTTGCAGAACTTACTGGGAGAAACTCTGCAGGTTTTATGTAGATCCGTCAGCAGTAAATCCTACTTCTGTTAGGAACTTCTTTTCAGAATGCATTTGCTTAAATGTGTGTTCATGTAATAGCTTCACTGATGTGTTATTGTGAGCTAGTGTTGCCACCCTGTCTGCCATGAAGGGCTCCCTGCAGATCTTCGGTACCCCTAAAAGACAGCCTGAAAACATCATCTCATGCTGCCGCTAAGTGAAGCATCTTCTAAGAAGACATATGGGCATATTGCTGTGGCTGTATCTGGCCAGGGATGGAAAATGTGGATTAAGCTGCATTTTCCCAAACCTTTCCTGGTTTAGATATTGTGGGGTACTGTTGATTCTGACTTATAGTGATCCCATGTAACAGAATCCAGCTGACCCCTAGGGTTTCCTAGGCTGCAGTCTTTTTGGGAGCAGATCTCCAACTCTTTTCTCACGAGAAGCTACCAATGGTTCGAACTGCTGACCTTTCAGCCAGCGGCCGAGCACTTAATCATTGCACCACCAGAGCTCCTGTTTATAGCTTCTACTACATTATTATTACTTTTCCAGCTGCGAGTTATAAAAACAGTTGATCAGGTTTTGTCAGTGAAATAATATGCTCTGTAAAATTGGTGCTACCCCTCCCCAACTTAAATCACAGTACACTGTGGGTTAGGCATTGGGCTGCTAACTTCAAGGTCAGTGGTTCAAATCCACCAGCTGCACTATGGGAGAAAGACAAGGCTGTCTGCTCCCTTAAAGCTTTAAGTCTCAGAAATCCTACAGAAGGTGGTCATGAGTCAGAATTGACTCAGTGGAGCAAGCAGGTTGGAGTTTTTATGTTTTTAGTTGTTTAGTAGCTACTACATTTACAAATCCCAGTGACATGCTGAACACAATATGACACTATGAGTGATAAAGTTTTTTGATTTGGGGGGTGTGTTTCCTTTTTCTTGTTGTTGATAGGGGTGAAGATGATTAGTGTTTGTCTCTAGGATGTGTTTTATGTCCTTCATTTTAAAAATATGACACACCAAGACCCTCTAAGGTGAGGACCAAGGCTAATCATTGATTCTGAAAATCTGACTGCGTTTTTCTCTCTTTTTTTTCCCCCCTTTTTCTATCCAAGTGAGCTGCCTCACTCACCCCAGAACCTTCTGGCCAGCCTAAACACATCCCACAGCCATGCTGTGATGCTGTCTTGGGTGCGGCCCTTCGATGGAAATAGCCCCGTCCTGTACTACATCGTGGAGGTCTCGGAAAACAGTGAGTTGGGGAAGTGGGATTGTCTCCAGGGCAGCAATCAGATCTCCATATGTGCAGTCAGTGGCTGTGAGCTTTCCTCATGCCTCCCAACCTGAACAGCTCGGAAAGCACCTGCTTTGAAGAGTCTCACTCATACAAAGACACAGCCTGCTTGGGACAGGTTGAGGCAATGTAGGGCCTTGGAGCAGGGAAAGCAGAAGCAGTTATGTGACTCCTTCTGAGGTTCTGGGTTTGGGGGCAAAGGCCCACCAGTGTCCAGTGGGTAGAACTTTAAAGTAGATTCATGTGGACCTGAATCCACCTCCTGGGATTACCTTGCAGCCAAACATTAGCCAGGCCTATAAAGGAACACCTTTATAAGGTGCACCTGACACAAGCCATGGTCGTTTCCATAACCTCATATGCATGCGAAACTTGAACAGTGAATAAGGGAGACCATAGAAGAATTGATGTATTTAAGCTGTAGTGTTGGAGTAGAATATTAAAAGTACCACGGACTACCAGAAGAACAAACAAATTTGTGTTGTGAGAAATGTAGTCAGAATGCACCGTGGAAGCCAGAATGGCCAGACTTCATCTCTCATACTTTGGACATATTATGAGGAAGGATCATTCTTTGGAAAAGAACATCATGTTTGGTAAAGTGGAAGGACAGGGAAAAAGAGGAAGACCCCCAATGAGATGGATTGGCACAGTGTCAACAGCAATGGGCTCAAGTGTAGCACTGATAGTGATGTTGGCATAGGACTGGGCAGTGTTTCATTCTGTTGTGCATAAAATCATTCATAAGGCCAACTATGAGTTGATGACACCTAACAACAATAACCTAAAGGGAACATTAACACAATTCTAAGAGAGCAAAAGAGCAGCATTGTCCCCCAAAAGCTCAGAAGGCAGGAAGGGACAGGAAGGAAGGAGTGAAAACAGTAAACACTGGAAGTGGGAAGAATGATGTTCGTGGTGGGGACTGCAGTCAATGCCATGAAACAAAATATGTATGAATTGTTGGATGGGAAACCAATTTGCTCTATAAACTTTCAACCAAGCTATAATTAAATTAAAAAAAAATGGATTAGTGATACTTCCCACATGGGGCTGACATGAGAGGTAATCATGTGACTATCAACAACAACCATACCTGCCATGACAAGGTCAACAATAATAATGCTATTCATGACAATAATGCCATTAATAATAGGTGTCATTGAGTCAGTTCTGATTCTTACTGATGCTGTGCACAGCAGAACGACACACTACCCAGTCCTGCACCATTCTCACAATCGTTGCTACACGTGAGCCCATCGCTGCTGCCACTGTACCAATCCATGTCATTAGGAGTCTTCCTCTCTTTTCGCTGACCCTCCACTTTTCCTAGCATGATGTTCTCCAGGGATGGTTACTTCCTAATTACCTATCCAAAGTATGAGAGACAAAGTCTCACCATCCTTGCTTTTAAGGAGTATTCTGACTATGCTTAATAATAATATATTATTGTTAAGTTTTTGACTCATAGCGACCCTGTATAGGGTTTCCAAGGAGTGGCTGGTAGGTTTGAACCATTCATCTGTGATTAGCATTCCAGTGTTTATCCTATAGCACCACACCAGGACTCCTTAATAAAAATAAGCAACCATGTTGGTGTTGTTAATACTACTTAATAATAATAGGAGTAGTAATAATATCTACAACATGGTTGGCTGCTTTCTCTGGCATAGATATTGTGCTAAGTGCTCATTGGGTCCCCTGTCTTTCTTCACTTACTCCAACTTCTCCAATGTGTTTCACATCATCGTTCCCGCCATCTTTGTTTAACTTTCTGCTTCCATGGAGTTCTCAGCAGTCTCTGCTTCTCTTTCCTAGCAGCCTCTATTTCCCTTCCACCAAAGCCTTGCTTTCCTCCAGCCTCACTGGCCCTTCTCCCTCATTTCCCTGGTTCCACAGGGCTGACCCAGCCACTCCTCACTGCCCTGCCCAAAGTTTCCACCTAGGAAATCTCATGCAAACAAACAAACCCCATTGCCATCAAGTTGTGGGGGGCTGGGAGTAGCATCTGCCTGGGGAACTCTTTCAGCACATTAGTGATGTCATTAAAGGGGCATTCGGGTACAGACGGTATCCCCTGACACTGTCAGCCTGGGTGATACCACAATGACCCCTGGGTCTATGTTGGCAGCAGGCTGGCTGGTGCTACATGGGGTGGGCCTGCCCAGGCAGGGTCAGACTGAGTGTTAGGTTGCTCTGCCCACAAGGGGTTGATCACAGGCCGGCCCCACCTATGGGGATAGTGTGGGAGGTGGAGGGGTGATATCAACCCTAGTAAATATCACTCCACACCTGTCCGTACCCACCTCCCCATCATGGCCAGGTTGAACACGCCATCCTCTCCTCAGAACATTACAGTCAGTCCTTGCTGAGTGTTTATTACACAGCACACTGATCATTGCTTCATATGTGGTCTTCTAGCATGGCCCCGGAAGGACAAGGCCGTCTTTGTGTCCCGAAGCCCCAACACAGAGCCTGCTGTGCACTGGGCAATTCTGTAGGCTTCTGTATGTAGCCTGTCTTGGGCAGAGTGATGAAGAGACTGGTGAACCCCCATTAACCTCTGACTCACCCCTCCCTGGAGCTGCTTGGATCAGATCCCCAGTTGCTTTTCCTTTTGGTGACTCTAATGTAGGCATTGTCACATGAAGACTCTAAAGTAGAGAAGGCTGTCACCTCTCCCTGGTACACATTCCAACCACCTACAGGAGCGCTGTGTCAACTGGACACTTAAAAGCTGGTGAGAGGCCATCTAAAGCACTGTTTTTCTCTCCTGGTTCTGAGCCAAGAAGAGTGATGAAAATTGAAGACACAAGCAAACAGTGAATGCAAAGGAGGAAAAGAACACGAGAACCCTGCCTCCATGGGGCTAAGACCAGAAGAACTAGATGGCACCTGCCTGCCACTACCAGCTGTTCTGAAAGGAGTCACATTAGAAGGTTCTAGAGGGAGTAGGAGAAGAATGTGGAATAAGACTCAAAATACAAAAATTTTTTTAAAAGTCCAGGCTCATTGATCGGACAGAGACTGGTAGAACCCCAACAGTGTGTGTTGATTCTGTGTCTCTGTGTCCAGTTTTGGAGATCCTTGCAGTCTTTCTATCTTTTTCACTGGACTGCTGACTTTAAGGTTGGTGGTTCAAACCCACCAGCTGCTCTTAAGGAAAAAGATGAGGGTACCTTCACTGTATAGGGTCTCTTCGAGTCAGAATGGACTTACTGGCCAGGTGTTTGGGGGATTGTGCACTTATTAGACTATCTTTCGGTAGCCCAGCCCCCTGCCATTCTAGTCGATCCCAACTCACAGCACCCATACAGGACTATAGATCTTCACGGGGTGGACAGTCTCATCTTTCTTCCAAACAATGGCTGGTGGATTTGAACTGCCAACCTTGCAGTTATCAATCCAATGCCTAACCCACAGAGTAACCAGGGCTCCTTTAATAGACTACAGTATAGTGTAAGCATAATTTTTCTATGCACCGAGAAATTTTTAAGCAATTGGTGGGACTCACTTTACTGTGCCATTGCTTTATTGTGGGGCTCTGGAACAGAACCACAGTAACTTTGAGCAGTGCCTGTAATCTTTGAGATTATCGTGACCACAGTGGGGAGACTGTCAGGGAATGTGGTGAAAGTCTTTGATGCAGCTAGCCTCCTTCAGGGTTCTAGGATTCTTTAGGGGCCTGTCCTTTGCATCTCTGGGCTATTGAACAGCTCTGAACAATGTAGAAATTTTACCAACATGCAAATGAATCTCCTCCGTATAAACACGTATGAATTTTTGTCTTGCAGAATATAATTGACTGTTATTGTCCTTTCAGTATTGACTAGTTTAGTTGTGTATCTAGTAGGAAAGACCATGGCTTGGGTCTGGCACACCTTAATTCACAAACTGACAGCTTTGCTCTTGAACACTTTAAAGGTCTTTGGTAGCAGATTTGCCTCCTGCAAGCCATCATTTGCTTTCTTGACTGCAGCTTCCCTAAGTGTTGATTGTGGATCCAAGCAATATATAGTCTCAGACGACAGCAATCTTGTCTCCATTTATCATGATGTTGTTCATTGTGAGGATTTTTGTTTTCTTTACCTTGAGGTGTAATCCATACTGAAGGCTGTGGTCTTTGATGTTCATCAGCATTTCAAGCCTTCTTTGGTTCTAGCAAGCAAGGTGGTGTCATCTGCATATCACAGGATGTTAATGAGTCTGCCTGCAGTCCTGATGCCACCTTCTTCATTTAGTGGAACTTCTCAGATCATTGGCTCCACATACAGATTGAATAAAGGAGAGGATACAACCCTGGTGCACAACTTCCCTGGTTTTAAACCAAGCATAAAATAGAATGTTGTTGCTGTTGTTGTAGCTTTTCTTGTGGTGGTGTCCAGTGGAGTCTGTTCTAACTCATAGTGATCCTGTATTCGGTTTCCAAGGCTGTAATCTTTACAGAAGCAGAAAGCCTCATCTATTTTCTGAAGAGCAACTGGTGAGTTCAAACTGCTGACCTTGTGGTTGTAGAGCCAGTGCATAACCCAGTACACCACCAGGCCGCTATAAAATAGAATTGTTGTTGTTGTTGTTGTTGTTGTTGTTAAGTGCCGTCAAGTCAGTTCTGAACCATATGGACCCTGCATAGGGCTTCTCCAGAGTGGCTGGTGAGTTTGAACCGCCGACTTTGCATTTCAAACTTACTTTGCAGTCTAGTGATTATGCTACAGCACCACCCCAGGACTCCAAAAAATTGTAATTCTGCTCTCACATGTCTCCTGGTAATAACTTGTCTGTAGCAAACATGTTATTGTTAAGTGCTGTCTAGTCAGTTCCGACTCATAGAAACCCTGTATATGGTTTCTGAGGAGCAGCTGATGAGTTGCATGGCTGACCTTGTGGTTCACAGTCCAGTGCTGATCCTACAGCCCCACATCAGGAATCCAGAACAAGCATAGTTATGTGGGAAAAAG